ATTATTCGAGATCTCCTCGGCGATTTTCACGCTCCCGAGCTGCGACCGATCGAGGTACGCTTGCACGCACCATTCGATCTCTCCTTCGCGTATCAAGTGTACACACAATAATGCGAGCCGACTAGCTAGTCGCGCGCCTGGCAACTGATGAGGGATCGGAACAAGTGTCCGGCCAGGAAGTACTTCGCGAAGGCGCGCGATCGAGGGCCGGCCGTGCCGTGACGGCCGATCGCGTTTGCTTGCGCGCGTCGATGACCGACCGACCGATGAGCTCAGCGCGCGCGGCGCCGGTGCACTGTCCGCCTGAGACGACGGCGGATTGGACTTGGACGTACGTACGTGGTGTGATTTGGTGTGTGTGTGTGCGGCCGGCACAAGGGGATTGGTTGCAGACGTCGCGCAACGGCGCGCGCACGCATACGGCGGCGCGGCTGGCCGGCATTCCGGCGGGCCATACATGCGTGCATGTACGCGACGCGTACGTAGGCGCCACTGCCTACGCACGCATGCAGATCGTCAAGTGGATCCGTTTGGCCAAGCCCCCGGAAGTCATGCAATGTGTTGGACTGTGCTGGTGCTGCCGCACACGGATTGTAGGAAGAACAGCTTCAGCAAATAACTGCGAAATTATTAGGATGTTGCTTGATTTAGAGGCCTTTTTATTTTTCACGTGTTCTGTTTTCTGGACTTGTAACTCTACCAGCAGCTTTTAAATTAGGGTCCTTACTCACAAAAAATAAAAATTTAAAATTAGGGTCCTTATCTTTCTTATTACGACAAGTCGAACTTGTCAATCTATCACTGACATAACTTTTAAGTTTTTTTTTTTTTCATCTTCCACTTCCACATCTCACTCTCTCTTCCTTTATTGGTCTCTAGCTTTTTTTCTTCCTCTCACTCCCTCCTCCACGAAGCGAAAGTCGTCGAGCATGGAGCCCCAACATGCATGCCTTCGCCCGCCGTGTCGACGGAGGCATAGCAAAGCTCCACCAGGTCCTTCACGGCCTTTGAGCTCGACTTCGAAGACACTATGGTCATCCTCACCCTCTGCCTCCTACTGGGCTCTTTGCCACCTCTACCTCCTTGTCCTCCTCCGCTATCTTCCTTGTCCCTAACCAGCCACACCACCTCTAATGCTGATTTTGATAGTCCCTTGAGCTCGTTTAAATATTGGTATACTTTTTTTTATAAACCTGATCAAAGCTAAAAACAAGTTTGATTTAAAGCTAAATAAAGGTAAAGTGAACTGCAATTTAGAATAGATAGAACAACAGTTTTTTTAAAGGTAAAACATGTTGAACGATTGAGAGCTTTCGTAAGTCTCGACTCCCTACTTTGCTTTTCAGAAATGATGAGAGAGTCCCTCTACTCTCTCATGCATATGCCAAATTTAGTTCAGAAATGATGAGAGAGTGTACTCTAGACTCTCTCATGCATATTTGTTGACTGATTTTTGGGTTGGATCATACAAACGAACATGCTGCACATCTCTCAACGTTTATTGCATCCTCCGAATTGCAAAAGAAGGGAACAAAAAGCAGCACGCAACTCATTATCATGCATCACCACCACCACCATCATATCATATAGCAGATAGCCGGAAACGTACACAGACTATAGGATCACGCGTCCGTCGTGACCTGCTAGCTAGTTTAACTATAGCATAGCAAAAGGAAAGGAACCATGATCTTGTTTGATTTGATGCGGTAGAGGGGTATATCTCGAGTCCAAACACGTGCTCCCACCCTTTCTTCTTCATAGTCTCTGGCTTCTAAATCCTTGAAGCAAATAATAAGGCCACGTTCGGTTGGTTAGGAATCAATCCTAGCCGCCAGCCGGAGGATTCCTTCGGTAATTTATATAACAATGGAACCGTAAAACGGTCCGGAACGGACTAACCGAATGGGGCTTAAGGACTCTCTTGAACACAGGATTTTATACATGGTTATTATGAGGAATATATATACTATTTTTGCTGTTGAATTCAAATCCCAGCGTTGTCACAAATTAATTGACAGTGCTGAATATATAATTAAGCATATGCGTTTTGAGTTTTTTTTTTTTTGAAGCAACGCATGCGTTTTTAGTAGATAATAGAAGCGTTTGGCATAAATATCCGGGATGATACCATTCGTATAGACCATGGAGAGTAATTATTTTTAGAGATATATACTCCTAGATAATATAAAGAGATCAGCCCATGGAAAGTATAATTAATTACTATAGGTATACCACCTGCAGCTTGTGGTTGGAGTTGGGCGGGGATTTATACATTGCTGGCACACTTCTCTTACTGGGCATTGGCCTTCTTTTGGGCGGACGAAAACGATGACATCGATTGGAAGTGATGAGCTGCGTGTTTAGTTTGGTATATATATATATCAAAGCACACACATATACGCATACACTCATACAACATGCTGCATACACACATCCTTGCATTGGTGCGTACATCACTTCGTGCATGCTGCTTTGCTCTGATGAATGAGCTCCGTTTTCTTTCTTACGCCATGCATCAATAATTTATTTATCTGATGGCGACCTCATCTTCGTCATCATGCCAATTGCCAAGTGGGCGGTACACGATTTCCATCATGTATACGCGGTGACAGTCAACAATATACTACGTACAGTAGCCACTACCGTAAACGTCAAATTTGCCAAGTGTTTTTGTGTTTGCCGAATGTTTTCTCTCGGGCACTCGGCAAACAAGTTCTTTGCCGAGTGCAGCCATAAAAACACTCGGCAAAAAAAACCCTTCGGCAAAGATGGGGTTTGCCGAGTGTTTTTTTTACACTCGGCAAAGAAAAATATTTTTTTCTGGGAAAGAAAGAGAAAAAAATGAAAAAAAAAAATCTTTGTCGAGTGTCTAGATCTAGGACACTCTGGCAAAGTAAAAAAAATTTTTTTTTCTGAGAAAGAAAGAGAAGAAACAAATGAAAAAAAAATTTTGCCGAGTGCCCAGATCTAGGACACTCGGCAAAGTAAAAAATATTTTTTCTAGGAAAGAAAGAGAAGAAAAAAAATGAAAAAAAATCTTTGCTGAGTGCCTAGATCTAGGACACTCGACAAAGTAAAAAATTTTTTTCTAGAAAAGAAACATAAGAAAAAAAATTAAAAAAAATCTTTGCCGAGTGCCCAGATCTGGGACACTTGGCAAACGAAAAAAAATCCTTTTTTCCCCAGCGCCTGCTGGCTCCCTTCTCCTCGTGCCTCCACGACGCCCTCCCTTCTCACAGACGGGCACGCGCTCCCGCCCCCTCCCTCACAGACCTCCCTCGCGCCGCCCCCTCCCCCCTCTCGGCCTCGGCGTGGGCCCGCCGTCCCCTCCTCCCTCTCGGGCCCCAAGCGCATCCCTCCTCCCTCCTCCTCTCGTCGGCCCGGCCCCCCCTCCTCCTCCCTCGCCGGCGCGGCCCGTCCTCCCTCGCCGGCGCACCTCCCTCCCTCCTCCACCGCCTCCACCAGATCCGGCCCCGGCGCAGGCGGATCCGACGACGGTGGCGCATGAGGAGGCCGCGGCCGCCCCCTCCTCTCCCTCTCTTCCCACCGTCGCCCCCCTCCTCTCTCCTCCCTCTCTTCTCGGCGGCTGCCCCGCCCCTCCCCCCCCTCCTCTCCCTCTCTTCCCACCGCCGGCGCCCCTCTCCCTCCTCTCTCTTCCCCGACGGTGGATCCGGCACAGCCGCCCCCTCCTCTCTCTTCCTCGGATCCGGCCCCGGCACGGCCCCCCTCCTCCATCTCTTCCCACCGCCGGCACCCCTCCCCCTCCTCTCTCTTCCCCGGCGGAGGATCCGGCACGGCCGCCCCCTCCTCTCTCTTCCCCGGCGGTGGATCTGGCGCGGCTGCCCTCTCTTCTCCCTCTCTTCCCACCGCCGGCGCCCCTCCCCCTCCTCTCCCTCCTCTCTCTTCCCCGGCGGCAGATCCGGCCCGGCCGCACCCTCCTCTCCCTCTCTTCCCCGGTGTGGCGGGTGGTGGTGTGGTGGTGGTGGGCGGCGGTGGCGTGGTGGTGGTGGCTCGTGGCCGCTAGATCCGGGTGGCTTTTTTTGTGACTTTTTTTTGTGGTGTTTTTTTTTCGAAAAAAATGTTTGCCGAGTGTATTTTGGGCACTCGACGAAGTCTTTGCCGAGTGTCCAACAAAAAACACTCGGCAAAGTCTGTTTGCCGATAAAAATTCATCGAGTGTCCCTTTGCCGAGTGTTTTTTAGGCTTTGCCGAGTGTCAGGGGCACTCGGCAAATCTCCCGATTCCCATAGTGAGCAGAAAGGATAGGATGAATAGGACCCAAAACAATAGTATCAAAATCTATCTATCTAAAAAACTTGAGGGCACTGTAGGATATGGTTTGCCACTGAAACCCTTTTTTCTATATCTATATATATAAGAAATATGATAGGAGCATGACACACAAAGAGAAATGGAGGATGCCTTTTTTTTTTTTTTTGAGCAACGGAGGATGCCTTTCAGAGCTGTAGAAACTGTAAATGGGCTGTATTGGTTGATAGGCCCGGTACTTGGGCCAAATGACACCTTGCCGCAGCCCATTCAAGGCTGCTTCTTGACAAGCACAAGCTAATCGCTAACCGCCGACCAGCGACCACCTCCGGTGCCGGTGGGTCTCCAGCGAGTCACTGCTCACCTGTCACCGCCATGGCGGGGAAGCAGTTCCCCTCCCCGGCGCACTCGCGCCTCGCCTCCTCCTCCTCCCGCCGACTCCTCGCCGCCGTCGCCGCCTCCCTCATACTCCTCACCGCTTCCTACTTCCTCCTCTCCCCCTCCTCGCATCGACCCGCCCCAGCCATCCTCGCGAGCCCTAGCGCCACCACATCCTTCCTCGCCTCCCTCGACCGTTTCCTCTCCGACCCGCATCCCTCTGCCTCCGCCTCCGCCGCCGCTCCCGGCGAACTTGACGCCGCGATCCGGGTCCAGGAGGGGCCCGTCTCTACGGGGACGACCCCGCATGGCCCGCGCCGGCCGCGGGGCCGCTCAGGGTCTACGTCTACGAGATGCCGAGCAAGTTCACGTACGATCTACTGAGGCTGTTCAGGGACTCCTACCGGGACACCGACAACCTCACGTCCAATGGGAGCCCCGTGCACCGCCTCATCGAGCAGGTGGGCGTGCGGTGAGATCGAATTGCAATTCTGTTCCGTCTTCTACTTTTCTTTAGCTGCGATGCTATGAGACGCGTACTTCGCGATTTGGTTGTGTAAGTGTGGTGGATCGTGACGAGAGAAGGTGCTTTACCCGTAATGCTGAAAAAGTTCAGCACATTGATTCACGTAGATTATTTCCTGGTTGGAAGTGGGATAATTGTACTATCCTAGTCTCCTTTCTGATGTATCTGCTCTTCGATGCTTTGTAATTTGGAATGCTTGGAGATGTTGCTGAAATGGGTTGTGAACTTGTATACTAGATCTCTAGAGCTGGTAGTCTCCAATCTGCTGTAGCATGGGTCAGCTACTGCTTTCAGAAATAGCGCATTTTGACTAGTGAGAATTTAATATGCTCATGATATTTCGTTATGGAAAGTTTCTGTTGTGAGGTGAATGTGATTTAGATTAGAGTACTATGGAGTACATCTTATTCTTAAACCAGTTTCAGAATTCCTTTTTTGGACCATACATGACTCTTGGCATTGTTTTGGGTGGCAAGGCAAAGTTCATACCTCAAGCAATGCACTTTGATTTCACAATTCTAGCTACAGATATAATCTTAGATTAGCACTTGATTCTATGCATTGGATTCAAAATGATATGTCTCTACAGTTTAAGGCATATTGTGTTACAGCTAAAGATCATGTGTGTAATCATGTAATTAAATATCACATAGTTTTTAAGATATTGAACTTTATCCATCTGTCTACACAATCAAATTGTTTTTGCGTTCACATTTGCAGCATTCTATTGACTACTGGCTGTGGGCGGATCTCATTGCACCTGAATCACAAAGACTTTTGAAGAGTGTTATTAGGGTTCAGCGGCAAGAAGAAGCTGACATTTTCTATGTGCCATTCTTCACGACAATCAGTTACTTCCTGCTGGAGAAACAAGAATGCAAGGCACTTTATAGGGTCTGGGAGCATCTCTTAAGGTTTATTTTTCAGAAAATTGTTTGCTTGAGGACACCCTCATGGACAGTCTAGCGTTTATGACTTTATGTAGGCAAATTTGTTGATGAAATTAAAATCTGATCCTTCCTTTTGGTATATGTCATTCAGTTATTGAAGAGTGTTGGGTTTGTTTCCCCAATTATATCTGAAATTGTAATGACAGACAACATTGCCTGAGTTTGGTTCTATTGACAGTAGGAAAATTATTTAAAATGTTTATCTCTGTGGATGGATATTAGTTTATTATTTATTTGCCTCTATTTATTCCAAGAGGACCTTATCATCATTACTCCTTGATGCCAGGAAGCTTTAAAGTGGGTGACATATCAGCCTGCCTGGCAACGTTCAGAAGGCAGAGATCATGTCATTCCTGTTCATCATCCATGGTCATTTAAGTCAGTCCGGAGATTTGTGAAGAAGGCGATATGGCTTCTACCTGATATGGACTCCACCGGGAACTGGTTTGATATTCATTGTTTGCCCATTTCCACTTTACCTTGGAAAACTACTTGAGTGCATCACTTTACCGTCTTATTTCAGGTATAAACCTGGACAGGTATATCTAGAAAAGGATGTCATCCTTCCATATGTTCCAAACGTTGATCTTTGTGATCATAAGTGTGTATTAGAAACTCAATTCAAAAGAAGTATATTGCTGTTCTTTCGAGGAAGACTGAAGAGAAATGCTGTAAGTCTCTTGGTAGCACTCCCTAGGTTTTTATTGTTTTGAATATATGCATGCAAACTTCCACTTTTACTTGCCATACCCCCTTTGTAGATCGTCTAAGTTTTGTCCTAAGTCAAATCTCTCTAACTTTGACCAAGTTTATAAAAAAAATACCCCAACGTCTACAGCATGAAATTAGTTTCATTAAATCTGCCATATGCAATACGTCTTGATAGTGCATTTTTTTGGTATTGTAGGTGTTAATATATTTTTTTTTATAAACTTGGTCGAAGTTAGGAGTTTGACTTAGGACAAAACTAAAATGACCTACATTTTGGAACAGAGGGACTATGTTTATATGTATCTATTTTGTTGACCTTTTTTTTATCTCTTATTATAGGGAGGAAAGATCCGCAGTAAACTTGTGGAGGAACTAAAAAGTGCAGAAGACATAGTTATAGAAGAAGGTTCTGCTGGAGCTCAGGGAAAAGCAGCAGCTCAGGATGGCATGCGCAAGTCTCTCTTTTGCTTGAGTCCGGCTGGGGATACCCCATCTTCTGCTCGCCTGTTTGATGCAATCGTTAGTGGTTGTATTCCAGTTATAATAAGTGATGAGCTGGAGCTTCCATTTGAAGGAATACTTGACTATAGGGAGGTAAAGATGGCAATCCAGGCATCTTTTAATATCATTAACTAATGCAAGATACATTAAACAATTTCTTCTCATAGTGGTAAGGTATTTCAAGATAGGCACAAGCCCAAAATTTGATTAGATGCACAGAAAATGAGGGACCTCTTGGTAGTTGAGTCCCCATAATAGAAACAAATACTGTACATCAGTACCCTTAACAGTAGCAGTGTAGAACTGATAGTTGCATATTTATTGATAAAATGACAGTTCTGGTATTCTGTTCTCCATGGCTACAGATGATTTAAAAGTACAGTTAGTGACCTCTTTCCTTTGACATTTACGGACCTCGGGTATGATTAGTTCTTTAATGAGCTGAGATATAGCTCAACTGGACAAACTATCCATGGTTGCCTTGTCTTTTTATTTAACTGCATGCTTTATTAGCTAGTTATTGGAGCAGTTAAAAGTGGGATGATGGGAAATTGCAGTAATTTTACTGCTGCTAGTCTTGCCGCTGAGAGTGAACTTATTTGGCTCTCCGCCAAGAGCAAATTATTCCTTATTGGGACAAGTGAGCATGCCTTAGAAGGTTATCCTTTTAGGTTCTTTCCAACTCCCTAATCTAGGGTGCGCTCGGTACTGCTTGCTGTGGCTGCAGCTGCTGCAGCCACAGCAAAGCAGTACCGAGCAAGCTGCTAGCTAAGTAAGGATAGCAGAGATCCAAAAGGTACCCCTTGGTTTGGGCTCCAATAAGCCCTTGAGGCTAGGAGCTTCTAACATTCTAGTCACTCTGAAAAAACGTGTACCTCAGGATTGTTTTGTTGATATGCACTTGCATTGTGATGTAACGAAGAAGGTGCCTTGGCTATAATGGTCACTATCAACAAAGGGGAGGTGTATTGGCGATACTGATCGAGAGTACACTAAAGAGAACATGCCTATCACAAACACTGTAATCCAAACTACTGTATGCTATGTGGATGCATGCAGATGCAGCAGATTATGATTGCAGTATGCTGGAACGGCAATATCAGTGTCAAGATTTCTTTTAACCCTGTGGTTGACTGGCTATAGCAGATATTTCATTGCATCTCACCGTTTCTCATGTCCATTTAAGCTGCCGTTGTTCAAAACACCTTTGCGCTCTATTGTGAATCTGCGATGCGAATAATGAGCTTTATCGTGCAGATAGCATTGTTTGTTTCATCGAGTGATGCTGTGCAACCTGGCTGGCTCGTGAAGTACCTAAGAGGAATCGATGCCAAAAGAATAAGAGAAATTCAGTCTAATCTTGTGAAGGTGATCTCTTTATCCAACTCTTAACTGTACATATAGACCGGAAGGTTCATTATTGATGACTAATAATTTACTCCTGATTCATTCACAGTATTCAAGACATTTTCTGTATTCAAGTCCTGCCCAGCCTCTTGGACCAGAAGACCTTGCATGGAGGATGGTAATTTCGTTGACATTATTCTAGCAGTAGCATCCGTGAATGTGTATTATGGAATGTCTTATCTTGCTACATCATCTGTTTAGATTGATGACATTCCTGCTACTGCATGTTCAATTCTCCTAAGTTTTAAGGATGTTAACTGTTTCATTTGCAGCTGCATTTGTATTGCTCATAAATCTTGTGGGTTCTACTTATAGAGCACATGTTTTATTGTAATCATTTTGACATTTCAAACTAAAATGCAGATTGCTGGCAAGGTGGTAAATATCAAGTTGCAGATTCGGCGTTCTCAACGTTTGGTCAGAGAGTCAAGGAGCGTATGTACATGTGAATGCAGAGTTGGGAACACCACGAGGATGCTTTGACCAATCTTTTCATTTGTGTCTTTAGACTTTTGTAGCATAGGCATTTTTTGTTACCAATGGGGCGAGCTTTGAGTTTGGCAAAAATTGCCAATGTATTTGTAAATGCAAGTATGCAACCGTAGCCATGTACCCAATGTATCAGTTGGAGCTGCGAAGAGTGGTGATACTGTCCTGTATTCCGAGAAATCTTAACATGGCAGAGATCCCAGAAGTTTGTTTGCTTTACTCTGCCTGGCGCAGGCACCTTCAGGCGGCTGGGGCCAGGATGCAGCCTGGCAGGCGAGCTGCCTAGGCGAACTTATTTTTGTAATTGTACGTAGTGTTATTTTCTTAATTACCGTACTCATTTTTTTACAATAGTTACCGTACACAGTTAAAACAGCATCAAGCAAGCGAACAACGACATTGTCTAGGCTAAATATAACATCAACTACGTTGGGTTTTACGGAACCTTTTCTGGTATTAATCAGGAAACCGTCAAACATATGGAATTACGGACAACCAACAAATGAATCTATTTGTGTTCTTTGTTGGCTCCAAAATCATGGGAGGCCGGGACAACAGGGAAAACAATCAAAACACCATCGTAAAGGCCTTCGTATATACATTCCAAGACACCAACTGAAACCAAACAATAAACGAGAGAACCAAACAATAAACGAGAGAGTTCAGATAACCATTCAACCATCATATGTCAGCATAACAGCGGTAATCTGAATATCTTACTTGAATTCATAGTTGACGACAAGGGTTCAGTAACTTCAGTTAAAACCACCCGAAGGGCCAAAACACTAAATGCTCTACAAGTCTACACACTATACAAAATTGATCTTGCAAGACCAACAATCTCCCCCCACAAAAGGAACAGTTGTGCGCTAATTGCTGAATGGACATCTAAAAGCTTGACATTAATTAATTTAATGGTTCCACAACGACAGAGTGATGTAAGCCATTCGAACAGTCCTACTTTTCCTTCAGATTCCACCAAAAAGGATCTACAAAAAATGTAAGACCATTAGTAAGAGATCGTTCCACTACATGTTTCCACAAATATAGGTGGACTAGATTGAAAATGTCACATAAAATATTTTCACATGGACTGATAATTTTGGATGATGAAAATTTGATGCTGTCTTGCGACATTAGCTGTTGAATCAGCACAACAATTTGAAGTCAACAACCACGAGAATTTGTTAACAACAAAATCCCATTCTTGAGACAACAGATATGGTCCTCAGCCTTCTGGCCAACATCATGAGACACAGTGCATGGATAAAACTTGTGTAGGATGGAAGATACATCGACAGATAGACCAAAATTAACTAGCAGCATGGTTTCTCAGTAAGAAACATCAACAGCAAACAAGCTAGACTGGAACAGTACCAACACAAACTGGTTGCCTATGGAAACTCAACCCCTTAGACGAAACTGGAACTTCATTGGTAACTAGAAGCATGGCTGATGCTCAGAACCGAAAAAAGATCAATAGAAGTTTTTACCTAGCTGGTAGATTTGAATGTTGATAGATAGAATATGCATCTTCCACAGTCAGATAAAGAATCCCCGACAATTTGAGGATCCACAAAGGCAGTTCTTTGCTCTAGGAGACCGTACACCACTAGAATCAGCTCCAATGTCACCATAGTCATAAGTCAACTCTGTCATCGGAGGAATATGCTTCAAAGCAAAGAACATGATATGTGGCCGATGATCATCTTCATGGTCAAACTGAACTGGCTGCCAAAAGACGTTAGGAGCACAACTATGGTTCATGAAACGTGAGATGTTTCCCATTCTTTTAGCACTTATCTTAATGGGTAGAGTCTCAAAGGTATCAGCTGAAATATCTGTGCTTTGCTCCCCAATCAATTCAGGTCCGTAATTCCATTTTAATGTCCTCTCACCAGGGCACACCGTCTGAAATATATAATCATCTTCAATATCATTCAAATTAATTTTAGCATCATCAATAACCTCACCAACATACTCGCATATAAATGAACCAGTCCGTATAGCGTCCCATGAACGAAGACCCCAGCCTCGATTACCAGTTTTAAAGACCTCAAAGTGGATCCTAACTCCTTTCTGGGTCACTCTGTTACGGCAATTGAAAGAACACCGACAGGATTCACCGCATTCATAAACCATAGTCTTGCGGCATACAAGCAATCCCAATGAACTGTAAGGTAAGCTGCCTCCATTACGCTGTGCACAACAGCAGTTGGCATCACCAGGCAGACAAACACTAAGGCATCTGCAACCCTCTGAAAGTTTCACAGAACTGAGTGGATTCAAGTGTTCGATCTGAGTGGTATAGGTGAAATGGTGTGGCCCTTTATCACTGTCAATGTCATTAACAAGAAACACTGGGAGATTTTCTGCACCAGATGATAGATCAGGATGTAAAACACTGCCTCTAGTTATTGGATTCTCTACCCATTTCTGGGACATCTTCCAGATTGAAACCCCATCAGGTTGTCCTGGTTCTCGCAGCAGCTTGTACTTGAAACAAAATATTCCACTCTTCGTTTTCTCCTTCCATGACTCGTGAATCCTATAGAGGCCATCATAAATATAAACCTTGCCAGTCAAGCAACCTGGATCCTTATAGCCCCGAACCACACGGATTACATTTTTTCTGGACAAGCTCCTTTCAAGAGCCAGGTTACCCCTCTCAAGCTTCTGGTCATGCCTCTCCTCACTGTTCTTGCTATTACCTCCTGAACCGCTGTAAACCAGAACATCTGTATCATCATCATTGTTGTCATAACCACCAGCAGCAACAATACATATTGCAACAGAATCATCCTCATCACCAAACTTGGCAGTCATATAGTCAATTCCGGCCATGCTAGGAGCATGCAGCCCGATAATACATAGCTCCATCCTGAAGTAGAAAATGTCCCCTATTTCAACTCCAGGAACAACCCCTATCCTCTTCCCAGAGTTGGCCCTGATATTACTGGCCATCATGATGGCACTAGCCTTCAGATCTGCACGTTTGTTGGTCTCTTGTGCCTCATCCAATTGGAGATGCCTACGCCGCAATGCCTCAAAGGTCATGAGAACTGCCTCCACAGTTTCCCTTGGATCATCAGATGGAGGAAGCAACGCATGGTCATTGTCAGCAGCAGCTTTCTTGTGAGAGGATTTGGGGCGCTTAACCTTCGTGCTGTTGGAGCTGTCACTTACCAAACCATCGCTCACATTGTATCCGCTAAGACGGGATGGCCTCTTGATCTTGCGTCCAGATGCTGATGTCTTGTTAGCAGCATAAGGCTCATCATCGTCGTCATTATCATCATCATCATCATCCAGTGATATAACAATAGGCTGTGTTGACCTGTAAGATGAAATGGGGGTGGCGTCAATTGGGCCATTAGGATTGGCACTAACATCTGATGTCCAGTCTGTTGCAGTCTGGCCTCCAGCAGCATCCTGCACACCAGTGGCGACATTCTGGCTACCAAAAGCATCCTGATCACCAAAAGTGGCAGCCTTGCCACTACCAGTATTCTGATCACCAAATTTGTGAGCCTTGCCTCCACTAGCATCCTCGCTGCCGAAAGCGGAAAATGATTTGGCAGCAGAATTGTTCCAAGCACCAAAACCCCCTTGAAATTGTCCAGCAGGAGTGACGAATATCAATGGTGGTGTGGTTGACTGGTTAAATGTATTGACACCCAAGGGTGCAGGGAACATTGGAGCCAATGTCCTCAAGGGCTTGACATCCAGAACATCCTGTTCAGGAGTAGGCATGAAATTCGATGGACGGTTCATCTCAACCTGCAGCAGTTGAGTTCATGTGTGAAGAAAGCACAGTTAATGATCATGTCATCAGTACCTGATTAACAAAATGGGAAAAAACTTAAACAGTGTTATCAATTCACAAGTGACTTCCTAACTTATATTTGCACACTTCACCAAGTGACAGAGAGGAATATATCAGACTAAAGGATCATGGACAACACGTGGCTGCATAAGTGCATAACTAGCTGATTTGGTCTAGTCACAGAACACCTATTGTCTATTGATTTAGCCATTACAGAAAATTCAGGACATGACTGACTGCATTCTCATTTCCTAACAATGCTGAATCATCAATGATGGTTAGTTCTACCATTCAGGTGTCCGCTGAATTCCCATTTCTCAACCAGTGGTGCTTCACCTGAGTCACCTCTGGCTGATTCACCAAACCGGCAAACCCATTTGGTAGGTAGGTTCCTCTCCAACTCTAGCATGCATGCCCCTCCTCCCCAAGACCAAACAAGTAGAACATTCAACAGCCAAATAAAACCCTCGTCCCCCCAAAACCAACCAACCAACCAAAAAAGAAATCATCTTCATCCAACTAAAAAGAAAGTTTCAACAAAAAATGTCTGCTTTGGACGCATGAACTCCAAGATTCCAAACTCGAATATGGCAAATTGTGTGTTTGTGATCGCAAACCATCAAATTTTCTCAGTACATACAGGAAACTACGATAGGAAGTAGGGGCTTTCCCCGGCAAATTTCGGAACTTTCAGACCTAAATAGGGTCTAGAGGGAAAAGAGGGGCGCCCGCAGCCTACCCAACGGCGGGTTCGCCAGGAAGTGCCGCGTTGAGGGTGGAGCAAAGCAACGCCCTTGGACTGGGGTACTGGCCCCCTAGCTTCCGGCACCGGCGGGGTCGGGGCCTCAGGGGCGAGAGATGAGAGCCGAAGCGCGTGCGACGGTGCGAGAAGGGAAACAAAGACAAGCGACCGGATTGATTCGTGGAAGCGAGAGTTTGCAAGCGGCGGGCGACGGTCTCGAGAAGTCGCGCACCGATGTAGCAGTGCAAGGAACAAGGAAGGGCCCCTCACCTGATCACCGCTGCGGCTGCTTGGAGTGGGCGCGGACGAACGGAGCGGAGGCTAGACGGACTCCATGACCGATGAGCGCGTGATCTCCTGGGCGGCGGCTCTCGGCGGTGGGGGGGAGGGACGGACGGAGGGAACTGGTTGTGGTTTGGCACTTGGGGTGGGACGGTGGGTTGGGGTTTTCTCCTCTTCTTCCCTGGCTCCTCGGGGACAATGCTCGAGCTTCTCGCTTTTGTGTCGTGTCTCGTGTGACGGGGAAGGGGGCTGTGTGTGTTCACTGTTGAGCGTTCCAGACGTGGCGTGTTCGGTGTTCCAGACGTAGGATGTCAATAGCAACGCAGCTCGCATACACTGTTGCAAGTAATTTTGTCCGCAAATTGTAAGTGAAACTCGAACTTTGATTTTTTTTTGCTCCCATGGGAAATGACAAAAAAAATTTGTTTTATCTCAGAAGAAAAAGATATTTAGCAAAGAAAAAAAGGTTCCCATGAAAATGTTCGAGTTAAGAAAACAAATAGCATATTACTTAAAAAAATTTTAGATCTAGAGCGCAGGACAAGGTTCTCCTAAAAGCCCATAGCATATAGAAGAAAATTCCTTATATGCCATCGAAAGCCATATCTATTTCCCTTGCCTCGTGTGCCACTAATGTCAATTTGCAAATACATTACGGGCATGCACGATCATGCGTGGATAAGGAGGTGTTCAAAAACAATGGAGATGTTGATTTGCATGAAGATTTAATGGTGAAATCGAAGCTTTATTGATTGAGGCTTGAAAAAGATTATTAGGCTAAATTCTAGCCCCCATTTTTGTGGTCCTTTGGATCCGCCACTGCTATTCCCCATATGCCATCCAAAATTACATCTTCTCTTCATTGCAATTAGTTTTATTTTTTCCTTGCCTCGTGTGCCACTAATGTCAATTTGCAAATACATTACAATTAAGTGAAAATTGAAAATGCATTTTTTACCTTTATTAGAAACATGTGGAAGCATTTTCTTTTTGATCATTCAGTCCTTTCGTGTCAATGCCCTCAAGAACATTCATTAGGTATATATATATGGTGTTCATGATTTTTGTTCGTGCAACATTTATTTGTTGGAAAAAATATAAAATTGATAGTGTTGGCATATAATAAGGGATGAAAAAGCCTAAATGAATAACAATCAAAAGAAGCTATAATTTCAAGTGGCATATAGTAAGATATGAAAAGGTATGAATGAATAGTATTGAAGGAAAGCTATAATTTCTAATGGCATATAAAGGATGTGTATAATTTTAGATGGCATTGAAAGAATTTTCTCTAGGACGTCTATGATAGCACAGAGTTTGATTGTAAGACATATTGAGTTTGGTCGTATCGTATACTGTATAAATAAATACTGAGAGTTTTTGTGGTCCATCACTCTCTTTAATACCCATGAATTGCAGCAACATGTCCAAACACATTAGATAAATCACCAAGCCTCTCATGTCAGTATGATCTAGAGAAGCACGAATCTTGGCACAGTATGATGTCCGTTTCCAAGACGAATTGAAAAGAATGGCACGAAAAGTAAATTTCTAAGCCGCAAGTCATCAAGTAACCATGCAAGAGATGTATGTCTAAGAGCATCTCCAAGAGACTCTTTATGTATTTTCTAATTTACAGGAATAGAGATTTTGGTGAAGAAATATATAGATATCCTCTATTCCGGATTTCTCGCTAGCCAAATTGAAGAACGATGATGATTCTCTAAACTACTCACAAGATATAGAGAAGTTATTGGATAATACAAAGATATAGAAAATGAGTTTTTACTCAAATGACTATTCAAGTGGTGATTTAGAGAATAGATTTTAGAAAGGCTCTTGGAGATGCTCTAATTGCAACGTATTCTCTCTGTCCAAAAAAATGCAATTCTAGATTTAGGATGTGTCAAACTTTCTTGAGTTTGACCAAATTTATAGAAAATAATATCAACATTTATGTTTTCAAAAATAGATTTACTATGAAAATGTATCTCATAACTAATCTAATGATATTTATTTGGTATCATAAATGATAGTAGTTTTTCATATAATTTTGATAAAACTTGAAATTATTTGATTTTTCAGGAAGTGAAAATTGTATTATTTTTGGAATTCAGGGAGTATTCGCTAGTCAATTAGAACATCCCAAATCGATACAAAGTTTTTTTTTTCGTTGTCGAGTACAAAGCTCTAACACGGATATACGACGTTCATGCCAAATTCATACAAACTTGTTTCCTTCATCGAGTACATACACAACTTTAATAACACGGATATATATACGAGCTCATGCCAAATCGATACTAACTTTTTCCATGGTCGAGTACACAGCTTTAACACGGATATAGGACGTTCCTCCGAGTAAATGTTAAATGAATAGTATAGATTTGGCAGTGACTGGGGTCAAATTATGAGCTATGAGGATCGCTTCACTTTTAGGACGGTTGGTGTGGTAATTTATCAGTTTCGTAAAGTTGAATAGTTTTCTTGTCTTCTAAGTGTAGTCTTCTCGGCTGCGTTCGCTGGTACGAACTAGACCAGCTAGCCGGCTGGATTCTCTCTCACGTTACTGTTCATCAAACTAGCCGAACAGTGTTTTTCTCTCACAACAAATTAGTCGGAACAATGTTTTTCAGCTAAATTTTAGACCAGCGAACGGAGCCCTTGTCTTCTAAGTGCATAGGTGCAAGTGCAATTTAATATTCAAGCTTAGTGATTTGGTGCGGTCCGTATGGTGACATGGGTCGCTCTAGGATGAGACGTGAGATAGAATCTATAATGGGGATTAGTTGTATAAGAGATAAGAGATATAAATAGATGAGTTAGCTATGAGATCAAAACTAAATTTATGATATCTGAAATCTGCATTTATCAGCTAGATTATTTTGTTTGTGTTTATACCAAAATTTGAAAAGAAGAACGCGGGAACTCGAAGCTTCCAAGATTGTGTCATCAAGGAATCGATTATATGTGAATCGGTATTGGCTGATTTAGATGTGATATCGGAATCGGCTATTTTATAGATGACGTCAGCAGACGGCGTCCATGGGCTATGCTTGAATGGCGTCAGGAAGATGTGTCGAACTCTACAAATAAGAGAAAATTAAGGTCCAAGTTATTGTTAAGTTAGAAAGTTTTCTTTTATTCCAAGAATTGTAACAAGTCGTATTTGAGTATGATTCATATTTATGTTTCAGGTATAAATATTAGACCCCAATTACTGTACAAGGACATGAAAACTCAATCAATACAATCTTTCTGGCTTTCGTCATCGTATTAGGAGTAGGAGTACTGTAGATCTCGACGAGTTTTTCAGCAAACAGGGTTTCATCGACTGATCGACCTCCAGCTTGCTCGTGAGTACCGTCACGACTTGTATTGTGCTTGGAAAGCTGCATCAACTCATTGATCTTTTATGAGCTATAATATAAGTTAGTTATCGATCCATATCATTGTTTGTAAGGCTGCATCAGCTGATTGATCTCTTACGAATTATAATATAGATCAAAGTTATCGATCTTGCGTTAAATAAGTTGTTGTTTAATGCAATAGCACCAGTTATCAAATCTGCTAAGATTAGTAAGATTTTCTTACTGTTTTTGGTTGATTCACAAGTTATCGATCTTGTTATAATTAATGTTTTATTAATTATAACAAATCGATAGAGATAGATCGGCATCATATTATCTTAATTGGTCGTCATTTGATCTGGTCACGTTTTAAATCTTATAATTGATGGCTTAATTTCGCTAGATCGACTGTTTTATTTCTATTCAAATCAAAAATAGTATGCATCCAAAGACATGCTTTAATTTTTAATAAACTCACTAGTTAATGAGATATAATCTAATAACACTACCATAACTGTATCGATCCGGTCGAACCTCACTGGTAAGACTTTAGATTAGAAATTATCGATTAGTG